ATTTCCGGGAAGTCGGTTGCGGTTGAGCTGGAAGGTCCCATGGCTGGGTCATTGCCTGCCTTAAAGTTGTAATAAACGGCAAGGCAATGGATGTGGATCGTTCGCCTCTAACAACATCATAAAAGCGGTCCGTGCTCGGTCCCGGCTGCTGGTGGGTTTCTATATCGAGCGATCTCACTAGTCTGGCCATGAGATCGTTAAACGATATATAGGGTTCATCAGGTGATCCTGGTCCCTGTGACACAACTGCCGCATCCAGTGAGGTCGAATCAGCCTCAGACTCTTCAGATTCCATCCAGTAAGGGGGAGGCACACTGGAGGAAGATTCCGCCGATGACTCCGATCTGCCACGTTCTCTAGATGGGGCGTTCGGGGCATCTCTGGGAGTCGAATGGAAACACTCCCGATGGGCTGGTGGTGAAGATCGTTCCCTGGTCGGGAAGCAGGCTGCAGAGTAGTACTCTTCTCGTCTCGGAACGGAGGAGTATCTAGAGTGGTACCAATCGTCCGATCTCGCATCTGAGGAACGACTCCTACGGCTTCTTGAAGGGGAGATGGCGATACCAGTATCCATCTGTACCGACGGCATTGGGGTTGGTGATCGAGCTCTAGGTGGAGAGTCTCTTATTTCCCCATCAGAGATGGAACCCCTCGATTCCATGACGGGTTCGACAGCCAGCCGGCGTGGTGAACCTGGTGGGGTGACCCTCATAGCCTCCTGGATGGTCGGTACCGAGGGAGTCGGTTCCGAGACCGGTATCGGGATCGAAGACGAGGCCGAGGCCGAATGGCGTTGTTTTGCCTGCTCAGGGTTCCTCGGCTTTTTAGTCGGTTTGCTCATCTTGCCCTTCTTGGCCTTCTTATGCACAGGGTGTTTATCTGAATCACTGTGCTTTCTCTTCTCCTTTTGTTTCCTCGGCAGGGAAACAGGCTGGTCGGCCATAGCATGTGCGCCTTCCTGAGAGGAACGTGAAGGCGGAGCAATGGAGGAGGCCAGGCATTGCGGCAACTCAGCCGAAGTTGGAGGGCCTTCGGGTGGGGCCACAACAGTGGAAGACTTAGCCACCAGGCGGTCTGATTGGAGAAGAGCCTGGTCCCACAGGAGTTTCCCAAGGCGGTTCTCTCTATTTTTTCTCGCCTGTTTTGAGAAGGCCAAACAATGGCCGCACTTATTGGTTCTGTGCCCCTCCCCTAAACAAAGGAGGCACAGATCATGCGGATCCGCTGCAGGCATTTTCGAGCCGCATTTTCCGCATTTGCGGAACGCCGCCCGTTGCGCCATCGTAGAAATTTTGAAAAGAAAGAAGATAGTAAAGCGGGAAAGTAATTTTTTTTTTTATAGGAACGATAAGAAGAAAGAAAAAATAGTGCACGTTAAAAGAAATATAAGTGAAGTACTAACAACAAGATCAAGGGATACAACTTGATAAGAGAAAAAAGCCAAGGATTTTCGAATGAGGAACGGGGTAAGTAATAAATCTTAGCGAGAGCGAAGCGGCACGAGGCACAGCGAACGGCGGTCGCAAAGACTGGAAAATGGCGGTCAGTCTGCTCCTTATATACTGCTAGGGGGGAGGGGGAGCAGAGTCCCCGCCGAAAAGGAAACCGTTAGCTATCAATCTTCCGGCCAAAGGCACTGCGCAGGCGCAGAACCCATATGTGTGACTGCACAGAGGCCACGACGAAGAACAGCGTTCCGTGCACTTCGGTGTTTAGTCATGCTGGCTGCATGACCATGGAAACTGCAGACAAACGCTGGCTCCCTCTGCTAGGAAATGGAGATGAGCACCACCCCAAGAGTCAGACATGATTGGACTTTAATGTCATGGGGAAACCTTTACCTTTTACTACAAGTTATGTTTAGCTACACTGAAAGCAATAAGTTCAGATACATTGTCTAATCTTATGATCTGTTGATAGAACATAGAGGATTGGATCCAGACCTTCCAGTTCATGAATGGAAGGACTCCTTCTGTTTGTGGAGGTGACTCAGTTGCTTCAGGAAGGCAGAGGAGCTGAACTGCACTGACATCCCTTTCTCCTTGTAATTCACCAGGGCATATCCCATACTATTTCAGAGACTCCACCAGACCCTCTGGAACAGATTTGGTGGGGTCTGGGGGCCAAAGGATTAAGGGGCAAAGATCATCCCCACAAGCATTTCTGCCCACAGGCGGAAGAGTCCAATAAATGGAGTGCTTGTCCAACCTAACACTGTTGAACGTTCAATACATTTGTTCAATGTTCAATACATTTGAAATGTACAAGAAGTTCAGCATTATGAAATGTTTGAGTTAAAACTACACACTGTTAACAGTTTATATCTAAATTTTAAAGCCTATGCAGCCTGCACTACCACTGACCATGGTATTCTTCTGAGTTGCCAAGATATAGTTGGACTTTGTGATGGGGACATGAGGCTATGGGGGTGACAGCCCTTCTGGAGGGAAGGCGATGCTGAGGGACACTTGTTCAATCCCATGGATGTTGGCCTGTTTCGTCCCGTTCTTTTCAACATCTACATGAAGCTGATGGGCAAAGTCATCTGTAGGCTTGGGCTTAAGGAACCCAATGTGGTAGAGTCGTTTTGGCCTGGCACTCAGGATACCCTGGCACTCATCCCCATTCAGCCATGAGGCTCAGTGGTTGACTTTGGACCGGTCACTGACCAAGTTATCCTGTAGGGTTGTTGCAAAGATGAAATGGAAATGGGGGAAATTGTGTGTAGCCTTAAAATACCTTGGAGGAGAGGTAGGATATAAATGTATAAAATACATGAATAATAAATGTCTTCAGTGTACAAATGGCAGTCATTTCCTGCATCCAGTACCTAGGAAACTATGGAAGTGGTGACTGGACATAGATTAGGGATTGATCAGACCAAAAAATCCTGAGAGTTAATCCAGATAAGACTTAAGTATATTGCATGAAAAAACATGCTGATCTGGGTGAAAATGTGTGACCAGTGCTTAATGGTCTTGCACATTCCGCAAAAGCAGCTTGAGGCTAACCATTACCAGGTGTTCCTTTTATAACCATGGTCTGATTTTCCAGCTACGTCCCTATCTAGGAAACTCTAATGGCCTCATGAATCCCAGTTTGTCCATCCCCTCATCTTACATCTCTCTGTGCCCTGGATGCTCAAAGGCTTCACTTCCCAGTTTTTCCTTCTTGTCATTACCAACCCAAACCCTATCAAGGCATTCCAAATTCCACCACACTTATGTTGGGGAAGTATGCAATATGTAAAAATAAGCAAATATGGCACTTTCCATAAGGGTTAGACTACAAGTCCCCTCAACTTCGGCCAGTTAATTGCAACACAATTTGTACGGAGGGCACTAGATTGGAAGGCTGATACAGAGTCTAATATGAACAAATTAATGTCATTTTCATAATACAGTGATCATCACAATATTGCACATTATGCTATATTAACACATTATCAAGATTTTTTTGGATACTGATCTTCTGCCTGCATTTTGTAAAATCATTGACCTTCTGCTTATCATTGTAGTCAAACTGTAAAAACAAGTCCTTTCCTTCAGAACACACCAGCTCCATAAAATACTCTTTCCAGTTTCAGCCTGTCACCTATTAAACAAAATAATATGGCAATCCTATTATGCAGAATGGTAACCACTATTTTGAGATGTCACCACACGTTTGCCTTGAGATTAACACTGTTAATATTTCATTTATCCAAGCCCCATTTACCTGAATGATTTTTTCTGTTACATTCAGTCCTACTGCCACTGTTTTATTTTATTGTATTTATAACCTGTCTTACTATCTCTCTCAGCCTTTCTTGATCTTTCTATTCATCCTTTGATAATATATGCAGAGCATATAAGATCCAAATCTAGAATAAACTGACTTAAAGGTCTGTACATTGCAATTTGCTATCTGATATGCCACAAACAGAATGTAAGGAAGCTCTAAAAAACCAAACAAGGCCCCATTCAAACAACAGAAAGAACATCAGAACACAATACACTAGGATTTCAAGGAACTTCATTTTGGTTTGGGGCTTTCTTTAATGAAATATGGGGTGAGTCACAGAATTCATTTTGATAAACCAAAAATGCCATATAGCTACATGATCAACACAATACATTGCTATACCAACAGATCTATTTTAGTTATACAAATCAAAGCAGTCTATTCTGAGATTTAAAACATGCCCTGCTCCATTTGACTCTGTGCTAGAAAATTGTTATACTTTCCAGGCTAGGAGAGTCTCCAAGAAAAGATAATTAAAAATAGGGTTGAACAATCTGTGGCCTCTGCTGACAGTTTGTTTTGTTTTTTAAACTTGGCCAATTTGATAAGGAAAAGCCTGCACTGAACAAAGAAAAATGAAACAGAAAGAAGCTAAGCCCATGATATGGTCAGAAATATGCTCCCCTCTGTTGTGCTTCATTAACCCTGTGGAGCTTTTAAGGCAAGGAGAAAGACTGAAAAACTCCCTTATCTCCTTTGCAGAAATCCCAAAGCTAAATCTCTAAATAAAGGGGCTACACAGCACACAAACCTCTGGAAATCAAACATCTGTGCCAAGAAAAATCTGCCCCAGATCTTAGAGAGTGAGAAGCAACTGGCTAAGCATCACAGAAAAGGCGCTCTGTATATACTCAGAGGCGCTCCCATTACTATACAGAGTGCCTTAGCGTAGCAACAAGAACAGCTGAGTTTCCGAGGGTAATTCGTAGCTGATGTTTAGCCCCGAGAAATCCCCTCCTCCGTTTCCTTTCGAACAGCGGGGCTGGAAAAGCTTTCCCTGCCGGCTCTCCCACAAGCGCAGGGAGCGGCGCCCGGCTTTCCTGGAATTCTTCGGCTTGGCTCCGGCAGCTGTAGCCCTGAGGATTCCGGGCTCACCGAGGTCCAGACCCCCGATTTCGGTGGGGAGATGGCGACTGGACGCATGCCGCGGCTCTGAGCCCCCCTGGGAGCGGGGAAAGTTGGGCGGGACTACTCAGAACTGTCCCTGCGCGTCTTACCTGGGGCGCAGGTGAAGGAGCCGCGAGGGAGCCCAGATCAACGAGGTGGCGGGGCTCGCTATTTAGCAGAACCAGAGTCGGGCTCCTCCCGGCTGCAGAGACCTCCAGGCAGAGAACAGCGTGTGTCCGGCTTCGCGACACAACCAGCGGCTCTTCCGCCCACCCGGCGTCCAGAGGATGGACCTCGGGGCGGAGCTGTCACAGACCTCCCGCCTCCTTTCCTACGGGGCGGAATCAACGCTGTCTTTTGGGAGACCGAGCCAGAGAAGCCCGTTAGGGTGGTGGTGCTTTGCTTTAATGTCCTATCAATTCTCCATCACACCTTTCTCTCGTTTCTAACCCACAAAATCAGCCTTGCTCCTTAAACTGCCTACTACAATTAGAATGATCAATTTGCACCACCTGGTGGCATAAGCAGGAGATTGTTGACGTAACAATTTTACAACTTTCCATAATTATTAGGCATTTGTTTGTTTGTTTGGAAACATACTTTGAAGCAATAATTTTGCCCAAGTAAAACAGCCTACTCATGGATATAAATATACAACAGTTAAGAACATCTCTCTCTCAGTTTAGTAGATGGTTTACTACATAATTTATTTTTCTTTCTGAAGTAGAATGTAACTCATTAAATCACTAGCGTAAAGACACAGTACATTAAGAAGAAATGGACAATAATGATTAAACAGAAGCAAATGCAAAAACTAGCCTCAGTTATTGCTTAGATCTTGATTAATGCTCTCCACAGGTTGGGCTGTTTTTAAAAGAATCTGAAAACAAGCTGGTGGAAAATTCAGCCACCAAAATGTTTGAGTGGGATAGGCAATTCAACCAATTTTGTAGCTGTTGCACCTGTTATCCATCAGTTTTCAGGCTTACTTTGTAGTGCCAATAGTAACCTATAAAAATCTGGCCTGCTTAGGATCAGGCCTCTTTAAGGGTCATCACCCATATGACCCTGCCCAGCTCCACAACTGGTCTCACAGGCCCTATTCTTTGCCCCATGCCTAAACTTGATCTAAGATAGCAGGATCCAGGGACAGGAAATTTTCAGTGATGGTCCTATACTTGTAGAATGCTGAGAACTCTGCTGGGTTCTGCATACATGACCTTTAAGCAGAGCACCATACCAAGTTAAAAAAATATACTAAGCATTGTTTGAGTTTTTTTCTGACCTCCTTTAAGATTTTACCTAATGTGTTCATGTTATTTTTAAGGTGCTTTATTTTAATGTCACCTCTTCAGGGCTTGCCCTAAGGTGGGCTAGAAATAAATAATCCACTTACACACACACACCCTAGCTAGAGCCTCAGGTTCTACTCACACATATACTCGTAGCTCCCAAAGTGCTGGACTGGGTGAAAGCACCAGGTCCACCCAATAAGTAGACAACTGCTGATTCACATGGTGGCTGTATCACCTATCTCTCAATCACTGATAGCTGGAAAATTATGGTAGCAGTACACAGAACTTTCATAAAGCCACTGCTTTACAGAATTTATTATATTTGTATCCTGCCTGTTTTTTCTTCCAAGCAATCCAAGGCTGCTTACATAATTCTCCTCCTCCTCCTCCTCTCAATCTTATCCTCATAACAGCTACCCCACAACTTGCCAGGCATAAGTGAGAACATTTTTGCTGCTGCAGTGCATCAATCACTTGTGGTTTTAATCAACAACTTATGTTCTATCTGGTTATAGGGTGTTGAAGATGGCATGGGAACCCAGGTTGTTTAACCTAGTGCTCTGGGTTCCCCTGTCATGCTAACAACATACAATCTGGCTGATCACAGGCTATTGAATAAAAGCGGGAAAGGGCTCAGGAAGCAGCCTGTTTACTTACTCACTTCCACTTGTGCATGGCAAATTCTGAAGTATTTTAAGGCACATGGCCTATGAGCTGGCTTAGAGCTACCAAATAAGCTCAGATGGGACAGCACCACATTGGGCTGAGTGAATGTAAATCAAGGTAAGGAATCCTTGAAGTACAGAGGAACCATTAGCAGAACTGAATCTAACTGGACTCTCCTAGGAAGGTCATGCCACATTTCAAAGAACTCTCCACTGAGCTAGAGGAAGAGTGCCTTGTACAGGTGAGATCTAATTTATATAGACCGCACAACTGGTTAGAGTGCAAGACCAAGATTTAGAGCTCAATGGGAAACTTTGGGTCAGCCACCTACTCTCAGCCTAACCTACCTCACAAGGGTCCTGTGAAGATGAAATGCAGAGAAAGATTGTGGAAACTGCCTTGCAAGAGGGGAAAAAGGTGGACTATAATTGTAGTAATAATAAAACAACTAATCTTAGCATCTCCAGTTTGTTGTAACTGAAATTTTTGGGCAGTAAAGCACTGAAGTCCAGCATAAGTAATTGCTGTTAATTATACTGCATCACAAGAAGGCAGTGAATACTAACATGAGCTACAACAAAATATGAACTTTGAATCCTGCCTTTTTAAATGAGAAGAGCATGCCAATTAATTATGTCATCCAGGGATATTTCCAGATAAAGCTTTCAGTCTGCCTCATTCACGGCACTTCACAGGTAGTCTGGACATGGCTGAGTTTCTCCACTTCTTGTAGCTATTTTCTCACCACAGAAAACCTGCTTAAGGGAATAGATAGAATAGGCTGCACAATGCATTTTGATTAACCTACTGCCTGGAAGCATCCTGGCTAGGATGCAGGTTTCTCTATTGTGTGCAGTTTCTGTTAAAGGCTGATTGCATGACTGTTACCTTGTCTATGACAGGAGTACTATCATTTATTTAGAACCATTAGAAATCATTTTATATTCATGATATGTACAGTCTTAGAATTATTCTGTATATTTTCCTCCTGTTGCAGGATAGAAAATAGCTGATTACTGACAGCTGAAATAGTGATTACTGACAAAATCACTGACTATAAATTGTAATTTTAGAATTGCAGTATTAGTCTATGTAAGCATTTAGGACAAAGAATGAGGTATTCAGTAGTAACACCCTGACTTCAACATGAAACCTTCAAGTGTCTAAAAGGAAAGGGGATGTTTGTCCTCATCCCTTAAAATGAAATGAAAAATAAAAAATAAAAATCAATTTTATTGTTTACCCTGGTACAAAAATACAGTACAGTATGATGCTATAAAGCATTCACCAGAACATTCAGCGTAACAGATTTTCACACAAAATATTTCAATATATTTTCCATTCACAAAAGAACTAAAAGACTAAAGCACAAATGACAAATAAACATTGGAGTCTATATGCAACCAGAAGGAACAGGCAATTTTATAAAAAACAAAACACACATATGTACACAATAGCAATAGTGTATGGTCAATGTTCTTCATGCTGCTCCTTGAGCAAGCAGGATAGTAAGTCTACAAAAGGCACAATCCCATGGCCTCCCAACATCATCAGGAAGGCCATAGGATTCTTCAGTATCCCAGCTCTGAAGTCTACATCCTCAGAGCTTTCCTGCCATGGAAAGAATCACACCAGTGGCCTCCTAAGGTCACAACTGAACCACAGAAGCAGGGAAAGGGGGCATGCAGGAAAAGGGAGAACACTGAGGCCTCAGACTTAAGCTGATTTCAACTGGTGTCCCATTCCCAACACTGAATCTAGATGGCTAAAACTGAGGAAAATTTCCAGAAGAAAATACCAGGTGAGGTCCACTGCCATGTCCCACAACAAGCATAGAATACATGTACGCCTCAGAGTATGGAGGCTTATATGCATCTCGCCATGTGGATGACAGGAGTGCCCCTTTCACCTAAGATTCAATGCAGAATGATTAGCATAGTGTTTTTGTCTTGATATTATATTTGGCTTCAATATCTAGTTGATATTGAAGAGTAATGGCAAAATCATTTATTGTGATCCTAAATATCTTTATCTTGAAAATCATACTGAAATTAGAAAAATGTGTCAGCAAGTTTAAAATTAATCTCTTTGACTGTTAAATACAATAATGTTCTCATAATAATCCACATAGTAGCCTTCTCCCTAATATAAAAATGCAATTTAAGAAAGTTAGGGTTTAAACTCCAATTTGTCATATATTCAAGGCTGAAGCATTCATTCATTCATTAATGTGTGTTAGCTTTATTTCTCTTATAAATAGGCATTTTAATGTAAACAAGAGAGGACATGGTGCTTTATTTAATTTCATTTTGTTTGATGAAATGTAAGGTATCATTTAATGTAATACGGTATCAATAGGATTTGTTTTCAGTGTAGCTACAATTCCTCTTCTGAAAGAAGTGAGGGAGGATAAAGAGCCATAACTAATGTTACGCCATATCTGAGCCTATATAACACTGCTATCCAGTGTATTATAATTCATCTCCAAGGTGTTTTTTCTTGAAAGCATCACCTGTCAATTTCTCCTGGGCTTCCTTCATTCCTTGGATGACTGCAATATGAAGTATAAAAATGCTTGGTACTTGCTTCAGTAAAAAGTGCTTGCAACGTTAACTTTCACCAGTTACAGGAAAAAACACAAACACAAACTATAAAGCTACTATAAAGCTATCTGTACCAACCAAATCATTTTTTTCTCCTTTCATGACTTGTTAGGTTCAACTTTTCCTCCTCTCTGATTCCTAATAGTTCATAAGAAGAGAAGACAACTAGCAAACCAGTGCTCCTTTGCCAATACTTACAGAGCTTGTAGGTTTTCCACAGAATCCTAAAAAATGCATGCCTTATATGTAAATGTGTACTTCAGAGCGACCCTTGCCAATTCTTTTCCATCCTGCTATTTTTCCCCACAAATGGTGGATTCTTCTGTTCCCCCTACACAAGCAGGGCCCCCCATTTATGTAAGGGATATCCAGTATTTCTTGAAAGAAGTCCCAAAATGAATGGAAATTGTTGTGTCTGGATGCAGGCAGGTCACATAGAGTTCCATTGTGTTTCATTCTAGAAAAGAATGCTTCTGCTCAATGTGCATTGCCCCATAACTGCTAAATTGTTCTTGTGCCAGTGGTGGGGGATTAGAGGAGTTGCCCACCAATCCTCCATGGAATTGGTAAAGCAAAAGAGAATTAGTGAGTGCCCTATCAGGTTTTACCCAAAATGTGCAGATTTAATAGCATCATAACAAAGTAATTTCAAGAGGGAAATAAAATGAACCTCAAGTTTTTCTCAAACAACCATGTTCTATTGTTTTGGAGAATTATTTATTCCAAGTCACTATTTTATTTATTATTTGCTTATTTTATTGTTCATTATTATTAGTTTCTTGTTTAATATTTTTGGGAATTATTAGCTTTGAATAACTTTTCTTCTTAATGTCAATTCAAAATTAGTAAAGCTAATATTCTCAAGTGTAGTTATGACAAGATCAGAATAGTTTTGGTCCAGGAAGAGTTGCTAAAATTCAGGGGTACAGAAATCAGCCAGGGGCCAAAATCAACCTGTCTGGGGTTCCCCAGATGGATCTGCCTCCCCTGGCCTATTTCCTTTCCCCTGATTGACAATCATTTCTGGTTCCTCAGATTTTGTCCAGGTTCTCACCATTCTAAAGGGTTGAAAATGGTTACTGGCTCTAAGAGCTTTAGGCTAAATACAGTGGTAATTTTGTATCTGGCTCCACTACTCTCACCTTTGACCGTGTTGATCTCTGGTATGCAACCCCTGAAAGCCTTTCCGAAATAGAATCAGTCCTCAGACTGAAGGCAGTTCAACACCCCACTCAGAAATTTCACTTCTCAAGCCACCCTGTCATCTAGGAATCCTGACTCTCTCCTTTAATCCATTGGTGGAATTAAGTAAGTCTCTGGATGTTTTATATCTCACTTTCCAGCATTCCCAATCACTGTCCTTTACTGATATTGATATCTACTCTCTCCCTGCTCCTGCAGTCCATTGTCTTGCGAAATCCTGGAATATTTGCCAAAAAAGGGGGGGAGAGGGGAGGAAAATACTCTAAGAATAGATTCTATGGTTCTTCCCACTGAAACCCAATGATTAATATTAGGGAACAGGAAGGAGCCTTTGTGCACAGCCTTCTAGGACACTCTAAGGAAATGAGGTTTCCATGGCAGGAACCACAGATCTTACTTCTAGAGCCTCTTCCTAACATTTTTCTTCCCTGAGATCCTGAGAAGGTTGATAGACAGGGTTGTATTTTTGGCATCCATGCTACATGCCATGATAGACTTCTACGCATTATCAGTGTTCAGGCTAAGTTGTTTAAAAATGCTTGTTGTTTAAAAAAATGCTAAACACTTTGTAACAAGCTCCTAAGGCAGCAGCTCCACATCCCCCTTTTTCATTATCCTTGTTGAGAAAGCAATCTCTCATGAAATACAAGTTGTTGCTTGGGCTAGGGCCATCAGATCTAAAGCCCGACTTAACTTAATTCACATGTACCTTGTTCAGCACTAGTATAAAAATACTTGTAGCTGGGGTTTCCTCTCTCATTTATGATTTCAGGATGAACTTTTCCATTGGGATCTATAAAAAAGAGCAATAAAACATATTAATGACAGAAAAAAGTATGTCTCTTGCTCCCTGAAAGGGCTAAGCAATTATATTCATCTCTTACCCATAAAAAGGATTCTGGGAATGTAACCACCATCAGGGCTGAAAGCCTCATCCTTGGGTTCTTCTTCATCCTGTAAGTAAAATATAAAGTCAAGGAGCATGAGCACTACTCCCACATAAAATTGATCTTACTGCATATCAAAAGGGAATGGTCCTAATTCAGCACATACTTTGCAGACAAAAGTCCAAGATCCAATCCTCAGGGTGTCCATGTTAGGCAAACTGCTGCCTGAAATCCTGGACAGCCATTAATGTTCAGTGTTGACAGGACTGAGGACCAAGGAACTGACTTGGTATAAGGGAAATTCCTACTTTCCTAAAGTAAACGTTAAGGGTTAGGGTTTGGAAGCCAAAATACGTTGCAAATGATGAACTGCTGCAAGTACTGATACTTGTTCTTTATGAAAACAGCAGAGTATAGGGTTAGGACAACAGTTCCTCCACATTCAATATACTTTAGAAGTGTGTAATGTAGAGTAAGGAATAAAACTATGAAGACTGTTATTTTTTCAGAAATGCATGTAACTTTTTACAACTGTGCTTCCTAAATTTACATAAATTATATAAAACAGAACATGCAAATAGAAAGTGAACGAAAACTCCATTTAAGTCTCATAGCAGTTATGACTGATTCTTACCTCAAGATTAACCATCACAAAATTATGGGCAAGCTCTGAGATTTCCTTGGATTCCGCAAACTTTGGTTTTAAAGCTAAGAAAAGTATAGACGTGAAAGTTAAATCAGGCAAAACAATAACCAAGTCCCAAGCAATCACAGACTAAATTAGCTGCATGTTGATCCCATTGAAATAAATGTGAAAAGTTAGGAATATAAGGTTGCTATCCTGTGCATGCTTTGCTAGAAGTAAGCCCCAGTGAATGCAATGGGAAGTACTTCTGAATAGGCATAGATAGGATTGCAGTGCAAGTCAGGCTCATGAAAACCAGTGAGGTACAAGTTAGTCATACATTCAGTGCAATTTAACTTTAGCTGAATCACAGCCAAACTTTGTCACCAAAATCTGGTATTCCCAGATGTAAAAAAAACAAAACAAAGTGATTGGTAATTTTAGGAAATGTGTATTTGTTAACTTTCACACAATAAAAAGAAAAACTAATACAAAACAAATGTTATATAAAAAGAAAAGTAAACATCTACATGACGATAACTTACAACAATGCCAATACATCCTACCTACCATTTTCCTCTAGTTTTATATAACTGAAAAAGTACATGGAAAAACTTTCAGTATATACTATATAGTAACATAGTAGCATTAACTTTGTCTTCCTATTTGTGCTTGAAGTAAGTTTATTCATTGGTAGAAGCATGTCCATAGTTTAAATATCTACCTTTTTACAGTGGGTAAGTGATTTTGGGTCCACAATTAGAAGGCAATATATGTAAGTTACATGATATTTTATACTGTAAAATAATATTTCCTTTGTACAAACCCTACATATCTACCAAGTTAAGGCTGCTGAAGTGTTGTCAAGCAAGACTGGTTTATCTTACCCTTGCAAGCGCCACACCATGATTTGTGAATTATTACCATGAGAGGCAACCCACTAAAACAAAAACCAGAAACAAAAGACATTGAAAGATACAGTTCACATTCTCTACTACACATTAGGCTGCAATTTTAAATGTACATACTAAGGAGCAAGCCTTGTAGGACATAGTAAATCTTATTTCTGAAAAAATATGCATAGGATTGCTCTGTAAGTAGAGCTACTTAATGTAATTTATATGAGAAAAGATGTTTCATTTTGCTATATTGTGTCCTGCTCTTCTTTTAACACAGAACAAAATATCTGCTTCCAAGTAAACAGGCACAAGATGCAAGTCTTATGATGGAAACGGGCTACTCCTAAGGTAGTAGCTTAGATTTGATCATCTGTTTGTGTCATGGAACAGAGTTTTCCTTTCTCCTATGCAGTCCCTTGTCCAACATCTCACCCTCCAAATCCTCTCCTGAAGATTAGAGGGACCCTCTACTTGATCAGGGAACTGTTGTGCCAGGAGCTGTAGCAGGAGCTGAGACTGGGGAAGGAGGAGGAGGAGGAGGAGGAGGAAAAAATGTTTGGAAAAAAGCAACCTTTAGCTCATGCAGGAGTAACTTTAGGATTCAAGTTGGAGTTAAGTGTTGGCTCCAGTCTCCTAGACTCCTTGTCACTGGCCATGCCCCTTTTCTTCTTCTCCAAGGCTGATTTTTTTTACCTGAGTGGCAGCTGGTGCAGGGCATACCTTTGGCTGCAAGGGGGCAGGGCAGGACTTCACACTTGAAATCCCAGCTAAGAGGTAGAAGAACTTGAAGCACAGTCCTATAGCCCCTCAGACAATGTCAGGAGACCATAGGATTGTACCTTTATATCTAAAATGTTGTAATAAATTTCAGTTTACATTAAAAAGATTGCAACCTTTATTTTACAACATACCTGGCTGCTGCCTCCTTTTTTCCATCTTCTAGTGTTCTCCAATGAATGTGATCTCCAAAACCTTGAAAAGCAGAGTAGGTATGTAGTGTAGTGTAATATGAGGTAATTTCCCATATTTAATAATATATAGAATCATAGAATGGTGGAGTTGGAAAGGGACAGAAAGTCAGTGGGTCCAGCCCCCTGCTCAGAGCAGGACTCCAGGTTAAACCATCCCTCTCAGATGATTGTCCAGCTACATCTGGAATGCCTCTAGTGTGGGACAGCCCACGATCTCCCTAGACAATTGGTTCCGTTGTTGTACTGCTGTAACGGTCATGAAATTTTTCCTGATATCTAGATGGAATCTGGCTTCCTGTAACTGCAGCCCATTATTCCTTGTCCTGTGTTGTGGGATAATGGAGAAGAGATTCTGCACTTCCTCCTTGTGACAGCCTTTCAAGTATTTGTATAGTGCTATCATATCTCCCCTCAATCTTCTTTTCTTAAGGCTAAACATGCCTAGTTCTTTCAATCTCTTTGTTTCCAGTCCCTGGATCATCCTTATTGCTCTCCTCTGAATCCTTTCCACTTGTCTGCATCTTTCTGAAACTGTGATTCCCAGAACTGAACACAGTACTCCAGATGAAGCCTAATGAGTGCTGAGTAAAGGAGAAGCAGTACTTTACAGTATTTGGAAGTGATAGTTCTATTAATGCAGCCTAAAATAGCATTTGCTTATTTCACAGTCATAGCACATCGTTGATTCATATTCAGCTCGTAACCTACAATTCCAAAATCCTTCTCATTTGCAGTATAATTGACCCAAGTATCTCTCATCTTGTAACAATGTATTTGGTTTCTTTTTCCTTGGTGCAGAACTTGGCATTTGCCCCTGTTGAAGTTCATTCTACTGTTTTCAGCCCAGCACTCCAACCTATCAAGATCACCTTGAATCTTCTTTCAGTCTTCCAGGGTACCAGCTATTCCACCCAGTTTTGAGTCATCTGTAAATCTGATTGATCATTCCCTGCTCTCCCTCATCCAAGTCATTAATGTTGAGGAGCACTGGGCCCAGGACTGAACCCTGAGATATCCCACTTGTTACTTTCCCTGAATTTGAGAAGCCTCCTGATGATTATTATAATAATAGCCCAATGAATGAGTGACTGTCCTTTCCAAGTGCTGTTTTGGCATTTGTGGAAGGGCAGTCACAAGACTGTGAAAACCAGGGGAGACAAAATATGCTGAGCAGCTCTGTAGCCATTTCCAAAACACCATGATAAAATCACCAGCCATGGGTCCTCAGGCTGGCTTCTTCATGGAAAATAAGCTACCATGCATCCTCTGAACTAGTGTGAATTCAGAATTGCATGTTGAAAGAATCAGAATACTAAAGTGAAGGCAAGCTAAGTTTTTAGAGAGGGCAGTAAGAAAGTTTCCAAGATAAGGATGAGACAGTGACTTATTTTTTAGCTGGTAACAAATTGTTTCACAAACACACATAATTTTAGTTTATCTGGAAAGCTACTTACAAAAAGATGACAACAATTTCAGTTTTTTCAGAACTAATTAGGACAATTCTTTCTTTTTGTAGAACCTATCCAAATCTTTAACATGAACTAAAATGTGAAAATATAGAGCCTGCAATACCCCTCCATCTCTTTTTCTATTAATGCATTTGGATACATTTCTGAAGTTGATCATTACCAGCTCATGGCCTAGGAAAAGAAACTACTCTCTCTAAACCAATTATCCTCTGTTAACATGGAAATTCAAAACAATGTTCATTATATTTACAAATAAAAGGCTAAAAAGAACTGTTTGTGGACAGCTTTGCTTATTTATTTTTGCAAATTATATTCAATTAAGGGCAAATCAAACCAAAACAGGAAAATAAAATTGGTGTCTAACCCTTTCCGAAGGCTTCTCCAGCGGAGACTACGACCAGCATTTGGCAAATGAAAGAAAGACAGAAAACCGACAGTGGTGCTAACTGAACCTTCATGATGCCAGGCAAGATCTTCACTCCGATCGCTACAGCGAACCTCTCTAAGACCAAGCACTATCCGATTAATCGAAGCCAGCCCGTTTACTTAAGAGGAAGTGATGTTCTCAGACGGATGTGGGAGGTGCTTCATAGATTTGGGTCCGGGGCAAGTTGTTAAAAAAAAGAAAGGCACAGATATCACGCTACCTAGATGAGAAACTTGCTTCAACTGCCTTCTCTCCCCTCGCTGGAAATTTCGACATACAGGTACTTCTTAAGACAGTTTTGTCACCCAAGAGATTTTATTATTTGGGCTGTTCGTTGTATGTACATTTTAAAAGGCAAATTTGTGCAAACTGTGCCGATAATTCGTGAAGGGCATAAAAACACCTGGATAACAGCATCTTATGTAAAGCTGCTAAGGTTGAAAGGTGTAATTAAACACAGCTGAGACGCGTGTAATGTAAACATGCAGTTTTATACAGGTTTACTAGGCTGCGACGTCTTGCTGCGTTCAGCAGCGCACCGTGTACGTGTCTACTCAGAAGTAAAGCCTGTTGTGTTCAACAGGGCTTACTCTCAAATAAGTAGATATAAACCTGCAGTTCAGAGAGAGGAATTGGGGGGTGGGGGATAGGGATAAAGTAATTCTTGAAGGGCTAGTCTCGGAAATAAGTTTTCGATATAATTTTCATCAACGAACTATGTTACCTTATCACAGGTGTTTTGGACTACAGCCCCCATAATTTCTGGTCACTGGCTATGCTGGTTGAGGCTGATGGAAGTCGTAATCCAAAACATCTACAGAACAACAGGTAGTCTAGCCCAGAGTTACCAGACATAACATAGGAAAAATTCTTTTCCCGGCATAACACATCACGAACAGTTGTTCCTCACCCTACGCCAAATCAGGGAATTTGCGTGCCTAATAAAGCTGTTATTCCTATGGATAGTTTCTGACGAAGACCACAACTCCCAGAATGCATTGCTTTAAACGTATCCTCCCTTTCTCCGCACGTCTAATTCTTCTATGCTCCACTATCGACTGAGGCTTGTATATTGTCTAGGTAGGAAAAACGGAGAGGACGAGGGTGGACCCCTCCCGTATTATGCAGACGAGTATAATACGAGTCGTGTTCTTCTTCCAATCGGAGGAGAGGGGTGGGGCGACGGTCCCGTGGTCCAAGGCCTCCTTTCTCTGGGCCCCTCGCTTTTCCCTACCTAGCCGCCATCTTGTTCTTGCCGCGTGTTGCCTTCGGAAGGTTCTTCGGACTAAGGTGAAAACTTCCTGCTTGACCCCCTGTTGCCCCGGCGCCCTTCACGACGTCCAGGCTGATCGAAATCACGACCCCCCCCCCCAGTCTGTGGCGCGCGCGCGGAGCGCAGTGGGCGGTGGGAGGGGCTGCTCTAGTGGACCGAGGAGCAAGAAGGAGGGAGGAGCGTGGGCCTGGCCAGTAGTAGCCCACGGGAGTCTCGGATACGGGGTGCTTGTGTACCTAACGCTGTGGGGCTCTTTCCCGTAGCACCCCTTCTCTTCGTCGAGTTGGCCCTTGGGGGCCTTTTCTGTGTTCAAGCTCCTTTCCGCACCAGAACCAGGCTAGCAAGGGCTTGCTGGTTCTCCAAGCGTCTTCTCTTTCCTAAAGCATCCAGCGGGAAGGCTCCTGCCCGTTACGGTAAATATTCCTGCAGGATTTTCCAAGGCCTCACCTCATTCTTTTCTTTCTTTAGAAGTGACTCATACTATGGAGGGGTTTCAGGGTCGAATATCGATAGCATTTCCCTACAGCCGTTTTAACATGGAAGTAGGGAGAAATATATAAATCGATAAAATAATTTACTTGAAATTATGGGCCTTATTTTCTCAGGGGATTTCCCCTCATCATCTTTGGGAATTGGTTAAGGTGGAGCATTTCCACCCTTGTGTAGATTCCACTTCAGCCAGTTAGTATATTTTCATTTTGACAAGTTTGATTTTGCCCTCTTTAATGTATGGGTTCCTTTGCATTAAAGTTTGCATATTGGAAGATTGAGGCCTACATTGTGCACTCTTCTTTTCAGGACTTGTAACCCACCTTACCTAGAATAGAATAATGGTGAATAGAGTTGTAATATTTTGAAATGAGGCACGTTCTGTTATTTTTGTAGTGGATTAATGTCAGTCTCCCTTTCCATGACTACATGATTTATATCTATTGAATCAGTGTTAATTTCTTGATATTCTGGAATTTATCTCTTTAATCTCCTGGAATGAAAAGCAGAAAGAATCTTATATAAATTTTTTCTTCTGAAAAGCTGGATTTTTCTGTGTCCCAATCCTGACTATTAATTTTCTTTGAGGAAGTACTTTTTGCTTATTTCATCACCTTCTGTAGATATGCCAAACGTTCTATCTTGCATGGTTGAAATAAGTCTATTTTCAGTGTGTCTTGCCTTATACATTGAGCATTTTTGTACTTTAAAGATTCGGTACATCATGTGGTGAAATTCCTCTGTTAAGTCATTGAGAAAGGATTTGTGGTTTCTCGTTTATGAGAACATCTTTCTTCTTCAACTTATCAAAGGGAAGCTTGTACCTCCCTGCCAAATGTACAATTAGATGTCATTCTCAACCTACAGGAATTCCAATTCTGTGAAGATTTAAGCTCATTATTAACTTGGGAGTTTTGTCTAGCTACATGACAATGTTATGGTTTAGACTCTAATATGGGATGCAGTTTTTAAAAGATTAAATGGAAGTATTACACAAAGTAAAGAAAACCACAACAGTGTTAGCTGAAAAATACTGCAGAGCCCACATAGAACTAGTTATTTGATGTATCTCTGCTAATAAACAGTTTTCTGCCCCAGTTCTAGACATACTTGAATTTGTGGGATTCAGTTCTAAATAAGAACATAATTCTAAAATCCTAAGCAGACATTTCCCTCTCATTTAAGTAGAAAAGAGAAGGGTTGTTTTAAGTGTATACAAGATAGACTCGTGCATGATACATAGCATAGGAAACACTGTATTTTCATGATTCAGTTATTGGCTCCACAATATATATATATTAGAACAAAAATATGTGCTCTCAATTACTCTTCTGTGATACATTATACACACCTGTGTATATTATTTATGTCATTTCTATACCATCTAATAGCTGAAGCTATATCAACATAATCCTCTGTGTATGCTTATATAAAAGCATGATGTTAGGTTTTTACTTGCATGTAAGTATGTTTAGGATTGGGATTACTGTGTCTTTAGGGCTATAATCATGTGTGTCATTACAGTAAAAATAAATGTACCTGTGATGATGGACTGAGAATTCTAACTTCAAATCTTTGTGAAGCTCATCAGTTAAAGCCTTGGATAAATCATTGTTTCTCAGTGTGTGGGCTGTTGTGAAATTTAAAATGTTGCTCTAAGCCCAGTAATGGCAGGGCAGGGTATGGATGTAACTAACTTTCATCCACATTACCAAATTTTCTCTCCATATTACCTATCTTCTCAACATTTTGTCATAGTCTACCATGACTAAAATATGCTACTTAGTTGAAACAGTTCAGAAAATGATGGGGAGATATGCAAATAGAGGCACACCTATTTTTTATTACATTCTACTGTTATGTGATAAAATAAACAAGCTTTACTTTGGGTTGTAATTGAGAGAGAGCAAAAATCTCTGTACCCCAGACTAGGGTCAGATTTAGCTCTCTCCTCTCCACCCTGCCCCTGAAAGCACATCTTTGTATTCTGCTATATGAGTACATGTCTGCATATGAGGGAAGGGAATTGTTCCAATTGAGGTTAGTGTTATGGCTGCAAATTCAGTTAGCAGCAACAGCTATATGAAGTGAGACAGGTTATTTTAATAGCTTATTACCCTTACCTGAAGACAATCCAGTGTAGGGGAGTGGGAAGAAGTGCTTCTGCTTCCATAATCCCCACCCCCGCCCCAAGCTGAGTTCAGGAATGAGGAAGGATGTATTTTCAGTAGGTTTCTTGTATTTCATGTTATATTATAATGCATACATTCAGTGTTTTGAAAGACAGTAAAATATGGAAATCTTGATATGTTGTTAATACTTCCACTATATTTTTTTCAGATAAAACAAGATGAACCAAGAAAAGCTGGCTAAACTTCAGGCTCAAGTCCGAATAGGTGGAAAGGTATTTTCCATTCATACTCATTGGATACATTTAAATGGGACAAAATATAATATGCATAGAATATATATTTGAATACATATATATTTCCCATCTTTACAGTTTAGTTGCACATCTGTTTTTCACAGGCTGCTGTTCATCCTCATGCGTGCATGCATGATGTTATGGCTGTTATTTTAAGAGGGAAATAAGTGCAAGTTGTCTTTGTTATTGCAAAATGGCACAGCACAATAAGTACAATACTATCCTTCCACAAGGAAGCAAAGGTCACTTCATTCAAGAAGGTCTTTGGCCTGTAAGTGGGTCTGTTGGTTTGGATGCTGTTCTTATTCTGTAATTGTAATGTTTTTGTGGTATGTCAATGTGTTTATTGTTTTGATCTATTTTAAAGTGTTTTTATTTGCTTTGAGTACCATTATTTTGTAGAAAGATTATATATCTATAAATTAGTAAATTAAAATAATTGAATAATAATGTTCAATGTTTTCTAAGCATCTGTTACTGGCAACTTTGTTAGGGTGTAGAGCACATGAAGTTAAAAAGGGATTGCCTGTCTCCAGCTTAAATGATTGACAGCAAAAATGGAGTTGTCCCTTGCAAATAGAGGACCATAATAATTATCGTTATCTTATTTAACTTCTATGCTGCCTAATAGCTGAAAGCTGAAGCTCTTTGGTTCACAACCAGCCTAAATATGACAATAATGCACTGGAAAAAATCCACAATACATTTTTAAGGTTTAATACAAAAGAGACCTGGTACTTTCATCAGCTCCTGGCTAATCTTAGATATATTTAAATGCTTCAGCACAGAGAGCTGACGGAGGAAGGCTGGCAAAGTTGGTGTGAGGTGGGTTGCCACTGGGAAGGTTCACCCCCTTGTTGCTGCCTTCTGAGCTTCCCTTGGGGAACAGACTCAGAGGAAGCTTCCAGATATTGTTGGTAGCATACAGGCAGATTGTGGTTGGAAGAAGCATTCTGTCACATGATCCCAAGCTGTGTAAATCTTAAAGTTAAAACCAGCACCTTGAATTGGACTCAGAAATGTATAGACAGCCAATTGAAGCAGTCCAGAATTGATCTTACATGTTCAGACCATCTGGTCCCGGGTACTAGTGTGACTATCAAATTTTGCATGAGCTGTAACTTCTTAACAGTCTTCAAGGGCAGGTCCAGGATGCCTCTATTGCAGTAATCTAACTTAGAGGTTATCAGAACACAGATCACTGAAACCATCTCTGTCCAAATAGAGGTGTTGCTGAAGCTGGTAGAAGGCACTTGGTGTTCTGAGCATCAAGTGTCAAAATTGGGTCAAGGAGGACCCCATGCAGCTAGAACCTGCTCTTCAAGGTGAGTGCACACCCATCCAGAACAGGTTGAGCACCCTCCATCTAGTCAGAGGACCTACTCTCAGTCTTGTCTGAATTGAGCATCAGTTTGTTAGTCCTCATCAAGTCTATTGTTACTGCCAGGCACTAGTTTAACAAATCCACAACCTCTCCTGATTGCTCTGAAAAGGAGAAGTAGAGGTGCATGTCATCAGCATTCTAGTGGCAACACTATCCAGATTACCCCACTCAGTAATTTCATGTAGATGTTAATTAGCATGGGGTTAGGCGCTCCATGCTGAAGAATCCAGGAGATTAAGCAATATTCCTCAAGCTCTACCTTCTGGAGTAGTACATCGAGGTGGACATGGAACTGCAGTGTATTATTCCCTGCTTCCAGCCCAGACAGGTGCCCCAGAAAGATACCGTGGTTTATGATACGAAAAGCTGCTGACAGCTCCAGGAGTATCAACAGAGTCACACTCCCATGATCTCCCATCTAGCATAGTTCTGTCATACAGGCCTATCAGAAACCATTGAGGCCTAAACAACATTACTATTTTTGGCATATTATAATAAAACCTCAATTTGTCTCCTTTCTCACCAGTCAAGCCTGTTATTAAATGGTGTCTCCCTTTTTGCCATGGAGGCAACAATTGGGATGATGTGGAATGCCTTTCCTTCTTCTCCTTCATCTGAGTTTGATATATCAACAATAATGTATTGTGAAATAAGTCCTTTCTTGAAAAGAGGAATTTGTTCAAATATGCTAGGGTTTAAGGTGCCACAGGGTTGTTGTGTTATTTCTAATAGGTTGATATGATTAATTTTTGTTCATCTATGAACAATGTGTGTTTTCCTTATTGTACAGGGTACAGCTCGTAGAAAGAAGAAGGTAGTCCACAGAACAGCAACAGCTGATGATAAAAAACTTCAGAGTTCACTCAAAAAATTGGCAGTAAACAATATTGCTGGCATTGAAGAGGTATATCAGTATAAATAGTTTGTCATAGATAAATGCTCTATTCCTTGTCTAATCACAGAAATCTCATGAAATCTTTCATTTAGTCTTACTGTGAGGTGGCATGTGAGCTACATCAGTTCCCGTAAACAATTTTTTTCTGACTTCTGATAACCTTACCAGATTTTAAACATGTGATTCAAAGTTTGAGAGTTTTAATAGTAATAGAGAAACTAAGGGATTTCTCAGAATGTGGATGAGAGCTGTAAAGAAGATTCTCTACTGTGGGCTTTCTGGAAGTATCTGGAGTATTCATGGTTAATAATTAGACCATTTTTGTCTAAACATTTGCATGTGGTAATAGGACAAGTTGAATGTTATTTACATTCACTTTATTTATTAAATTTATGTTTCAGTACAGCATCTATAAAATTTCTAGGCATTTTCCATTATGGCAGTAGCCAAATCCAGACCTGGTTAGGTTCAGCAATTACAGAGATCCATCTTTTCCAGTAGGCAGATTAAACAGTAACATTTTTGGGAAAGTATAAATGATGCTGTAACTCTGCTGAATCAAGTTTGGCACTTGGTTGCACCATTTCCAAAGGATGACTGTGACATTAAGGGCTCAGTCCAGTGTGGATGCCCATTAGCCCCCAAATTTGGAGGATTGTGGGCATTCTATGCAGGGTGGGAGACAGACAGGGTCTTTAGCGCTATCCCCAGCTTCTCCTATCCTGAAAGGTCTGGCTGAGACACATTTGAATGGGATGGAAGGAGGCTGAAGCACCACCAGGGTACTTCATATCCTGATAATCCCAGTCTCCTATACAAGAACACACACTGCCTCTTAGCACATCAGAGAAGCAGCTGCTAACACTTTTTCTGTGTTGGCTGCAAGAAGTAGGGATCTAAGTGCAGATCCCCAATTCCTTTCCAGCCTCAGATCTGGAAAAAAAACTCCCATGAGTCTGTAGGTGCTCTCTGTGAATCATAGGATTGTCCTGTATTTTGCTCTGTAGATGTACTTCATGTTAGAATAAGATTGTGCTTGATGACTTTTGACAGTATGGATAAGGGAATAAAGACAAAGGACAGCCTTGATTACTACCTGTGAACCCAACCAAACTAGAATTTTTAAACAAATTTGAAATCAACTTAGTTGGCTTCCTTTTTTCAGAATAACTCTGAAAATTAATTGTAGATCTGCAAATAAAGAGAGTTTCTTTTTAGTGATCTGTCAGTTTAAAGACATTTTTGCAGTGGAGATAAAGAGAAATGTTAGGTTTATAGTACATTTATAAACAGTGTATCCTTGTATTTGTAGGCCTTTGCTGATCACTTCTTTCTGATGTTGATCAAAATAGTAGTATTTTGATAAAAGGATTGCTTATACCTTAACATTTTTATCTGAAGTTTATTCTTATGTGTTAATTTGAATTCTAAAGATTTTTTTTAAAAAACTTGTGTTCTCAGCTCATACAGGTACATGCAGTATATAAATATCTCTCATTTTCGAGCTATATTGTGTGCTAATATGAATGTCTTGTTCCATGATAATACTTTGTTGTACTAACTAAGATGCATGCCTTTTAATAGACCTATGTTTCAAACAGGTGAATATGATAAAAGATGATGGAACAGTTATTCATTTCAACAATCCCAAGGTCCAGGCTTCACTGTCTGCAAACACTTTTGCTATTACTGGTCATGCTGAAGCCAAACCAATCACGGAAATGCTTCCTGGTATCTTAAACCAGCTGGGTGCTGACAGCTTAACAAGTCTCAGAAAGTTAGCTGAACAGTTCCCAAGGCAAGGTAGGTATCTTTGACTGAGAAAACTCCCTTAAGATTTTGAAATGGGTGATTTTTATTTTCATGCCTTTTTATTAATACTGATTTTCTGATTGGCTTTAATAGCGTTTCTTAGATAGCTTCTCTTTTGCCTGAAGCCATCTACTTTGTAATTTTTTCCTCTTGTATCTCTAATTTCTGTAGAGTTACTCTGTGTAATGAACCTTCTTTCCTACATAAGTAATGCATCAGAGCAAACTATTGCACTCATGTAGGCTTCTCACAGGCAACTTGTTGGTCAAGGTGTAAATAGAACAGGGGTCCTCAAACTTTTTCAATGGGTGGCCAGTTGAAAGACAGCAAGGTGGGCAGCAGTGGGCACAGGGAATCCAAAACCTCTGAGGCGGGCCAGATCCGTGGCCGTAGTTTGAGGGCCCATGAAATAGAATGTTGGACTAAATAGGCCTTTAGGCATGATTTTTCTTATGTTCATCTGTTAATTGTGCACAGGACTACAGCTTTTAACAATTTACTTGCTTTAATAGTTTACTCTTATTCCCCTAATTTAATGAACTCTGTTGGTACACTTTATTCTGCTTTCATTTGTGATATCATTCATATGGACTTTGCTACATCCTACATTTATAACTGCAGGCATATATACTATGGGGCAGGGGAGGGGAGTCTTTGAAAATGGCTTTGTATACACTATTTAATAGTTATATGATAGAGTTTTGGAGTGAAGTTGTAATGGAAAGAGAAGATGGATCCTTGTGGGCAACATTTTCCCACCTGGTATCCTCCTGAACTTTTGGACTTAAATATTTATTAGTTCCTTACAACATGGAATGCTGGGATTAGTAGTGGAAAACATCTGGACGATACCAGGTTGCAGAGGGCTGCTCCTGAGTTTTAAACTTAAATTCCTGATTCAGATTGTATAATAATTGTCAGTGTGATTAGAGACTTGGTGAAATCCTAGAGGTCTAACTCAGAGATCAGTCTCTGGGAACTTACTCTCAAGATGTGAATCAGTTTATAGCCTGGAAAACTGCCCCAGTTTTATCCTATACTCGGTGGGCAAACAAGGTTCACCAGTTTTATCTTTCCAGCAATCCATTGAGGAAAGCTAGAATGAAAGTTGGTTGTTCCCTGAGGATAATTTATGTCTTTGAATGGTATTTTGAACCTAATGCTGAATCCACTATACATCATATTGTTGCACTTAGTGAAATTTAAATAGGGTTCTACCTTTTAATATCATGAGGGGAGTTTTTCATTTGCACAGATCAATGGATTACAACAGAACATATGATCAAATGATTTTTGAACTATCTTGGTAGATGAATTTTTAAACACCATTTTACTAACCATATAATTTATTCTAATGAAACACAATTTTACATAAGGGAAATATGTTCATTTTTCAAAATATATCTATTTGAATGACCTGATATAAATAGGTAATTTGTATAACTTCAAATAAGAGTTTCTTTGTATTGTCATTCCAAAGCCCAATCCCAGAACATGCCCTTCTAGCTCTTAGGATGAGATGCTTTAACACCTGTATCATCATAAGGTATAAAGATGTTACATTGTGAAAGCATTATGGTAAGACTTCTTCAAGGCCAGGCATAATTGAGTAGATTAGAGTTATTAGATTAAAATAGAGTAAAAATATCACAATTTATGCTACCACTGGTTATTTTTTCAATATCACTGTATTAAAAACAATCCAATTTTATTTGTCAAGATGTACTTTATTTCTCCTTTTCCTTAGATATTACATATTATCTTATGATAATTTCTGTTTGTTCCATGTATTAATTATTTTATTTTTTCCTAGTGTTGGATAGCAAAGTACCAAAATCAGAAGATATTGATGAAGAAGATGATGATGTTCCCGGTAGGATTATTTGGCTTCATTTAAAAATAATTCAGTTTTTTAGTGGGTGTTTATTTGACTTTGATGCATGATGATGGTTGCTTTTATAATTTGAGAGGCCACTGCTCACTGGATTAAGTGTAGACATTATCAGAAGAATGCCTTATATTAACACAGAGTACATCATAAAGTGCATAATAGTCAGTTTCCTTGATCTAGAGCAGATTGAGCAGAAATCTGCACACCTGCTCTGTTTCCAAGGAATACGCTGTGCTAAAGAAAGAGATACCTCTCAGATGAGGTGAGTTCACAGAGTTCTGTTCCCTGCAGCATTAGGAAAATGAACCTTACAGTAAACTGTTCATGAACTGTTCAGCAGTTCACTGTGTAAATTAGCTACTACTTCGCAATACTTCACTAAAAATATTGTGGAAAACAGCCATTACTGCAAGTAAAACACAATTTTTTCTACCAGTCAGCTTAGCTCAGAACGATTAAACTGATGTTTTGTATAGTTGATTCCGTATTAGAATAGTATTTAAAGAACGAGCTGGGCCAGGGGCTGACATTAACTAAAGTAAGCGGTGGCTAGGGAACTTGTTATTGTGTCTTTTGTCTTTAAAACTTTGAATTTTGCTAGATACGTACATATATTGATGATCAACCTTGATCCATTTAGCCCCTTAGTTTATTTGGAAAAGTCATTCATATAACTGCAGCTAGTTATTTTCCTTTTAAGATGCAGCAATTTCACATGAGACCAACATTGATTAACACTTGACAAACATTAGCAAAGTCCTGGTGGTCCTTGCTGGTTGTTATATAGGGGTCTCTTTTCTGTAAGCCATAGTTGTGATCCTGCTAATGCAGTTATGGCTGTAGCCAGGTAGACACACTGAAATCACACTGAATATAATGGGTCTTACTTCAAAGTTTCCTTCAACTGTACTATAAATCTATTTGGTAAAATTGCTGTTATAGGCTAGCTCAAAAACATTCTCAAATCTAGGAGCTGCTTTACTGTTGGATGGAAGGCATAAAGATTGGAGTCACAGGCTGAACTCTGTTGCTTTACCTGGGGCCATTTCATGTCCAGTGATTTTCGGTGACTAGCGTTTTTCTTGAAAGATGAAAGAAAGGAGGGGGCAATAGCAGATTTTGCCAGCATAACACTGTATTCAATAATTAAAGTGTTTCTCTTTGACTTTGCTGTTTAATGACCTGTAATTATGTATTTCCATCTTTTTCAGATCTTGTAGAAAACTTTGATGAAGCATCAAAAAATGAAGCTAATTAATTCACTAATAGTTCTGGAAGTTGACATGGACTAGATTTAAGAAATCAGCTGTGTGGTTCCAAAGTTTTACAGAAACCGTGAACATTACCCGTTTAATAGTTCAATAATATAAAATATTTTCTATTTTAATTATGCTGCCTCTTCAGCATTTCCTGTCAGTTGATTTTTGCATTTTGCACTTAATCCCAGGATCTACCTTTTCAGTTAAAAAGAAAAAATAAGACATTTTCAGTTCAGATCAAGGGGTGTGTGCATGTGTGTGGATGTATGTATGTGACTTTTATGTACAGTTGAGAGGAAATCTGAGAACAGATTTGCTAGACTTTCCCTTCTCTCTCTGAAGTAGGAATAAAACCAAGTCTTTAAGGGAGCAATTCTGTGACTCTTAGACAGTGTTTGAGGAGCCATAAGATATTTCAGATTCTCAATTCTGAATCTGGAGTCAATGCTCCAACCTTAGGGCTGGGCATTAGAGGTCCCTCCCTTCACTGCAGGTATGGAAAGAACTGCACTGGCTGCTACTCTTGAGGTTGAGAATACAACCTTGGAGAGAGGAAAAGGGAGCATTCAGTGGCAGTGGAAGAGACTGGAGAGGCTATAGAATCGTGAGTTCTCTCCAGTCTCCTTCCCTGCTCCTCTGAAACACTTTGGCACAGTCCAAAAAGCCCATCTAGTGAAAATAGAGTAGGAAAGATGGGGATGGTAAATATTACCTCCTCCATTTTTCCCACTCTGCATAGGATTCTCCTAAGCCTCCCAAGTTTATAAGCATCAAGGGCATGACCCATAGGATTGTGCTCTAACTTGGTTAAAGTAGTCTTTCTTATTGCAACCAAACAGTTCTCATAAAATAGTGAACAGTGAGTCTTACTTGTCCACATTTCATGAATTCCAGATATCGCTTACTAATTTTTGGGTTAATTTTCTGTGTTAACAAATGTATTTGCAAATGTGTTTCTCTTTCATATTGACAGTGTATATGTGTTGTTTTTCATTGGCCTCCTTTTGATTTTAAATTGTACCAAAGACAGGATGTTAACATGCATGTTTATTGCAACACTTTAAAAAATGTACTTGAGGGCTTGTTTTTTGCTCTTTAAAGCTCCTCTCTCATTCACTTTAAAATTTAGGTTGCATTCACATGTGATGTGATAAACTATTTTGTCTTGGATAAAACCACTATCCTGTGAAGTACTGTTCATTTAGACTGAGCAAGTGCCAACCCTGCACCTATGCATGTTAACTTCTTCAAGAAGCCAGATGATATGCTTGTTCAGGGTTCCTGGGAAAAGAACGCGATATTTATGACTGTGATAAAGATTGGAGGGTTAACTCTGCTCAGTACTGACTCTAATATCTTGTGGTTTCCTCTTGGTACAATTAACTGTCTTTCAGTAGATCCCTCTTCAAAGTGCTGAGTGCTGTTTTGACCCTTTTCATCTCAATGAAACAGTATTCCTCTTAACCTGTGGGTATATTTCCCATTGGTATTACTCACTTTGATGAGAGGGTAGCACTCTCCTGTGCTCAGATTTTCTGTAGAAAATATTGCATCCTTAAAGCATGGTTAGATCATTTTGTGAAAAGATGTGAAATAGTTCTAGTGTTCTAATTGAGCTCCTAAGAGCATGGGAGCCACTGTTGTTTCAGGACACTAGAATCTGGCAGTGTAGTTCGGATGATACAGGACAAACATGGAAAGGGCCATAGGTTGTGTTGTGTTTCCACAAACTTTTCATTGAAAGGCTTAAACCATTAAATTTGAGGATAAAAATTACTTACTTCAAAACCCTTACTTTTTTCTACATCTTACACTTAGGTTGGGTGTACTAGTTAATTTGAAAACAAAGCCCTCCTCTGGTACATAGAGGATAGTAGCAGTATCACAGGTACGGTGCGGTATTTGCTGAACTTTCTTTCAAAATGCTTAATGTGAAGCTCTTACTAATGGTTCTTCAACGGTGCTTGATGTAATCTTTGCAGTTCAGCATCATTGTAACCTTTGCCAAAGGCAATCATGGCTTGGGTAAGCCATATTTCTTATCAGCTTACTTTGTCGTACTTTTGAGACATACCTGCTTTCTGTGTAGCTATATACACCCAGCATCTATATAATTTCAGCATCCTAGTGTCATCAAACCAAACCACAAAAGCAGCGCTTGTAGTAGTTTGTCATCTGGACTGCTCACTTGATTTTATAGATTTGTTTGGTTTTCTTGTTCTATTTTATATAATACATGGATCTTAATAAAATAATTCAAAGGAGGCAATGTTCCCTCTTGTGTGTTATCTGCTTTTCACAACAGTACTAATAAAGGAACAAACTGGATGCAGGTGATGCTTTAATCAGCAATACACTCGTCATGTTACTTTTTTAGGTTTTCTCTTTCTATTTGTACATACAAATGATAGACCTTAGAGTGATCTGAATTGCATGCAGGGACAGCAAATCGTGGGTCAGTTAACCTAATCATGGGTTAACTGAGTTGTTTAATCCAAAAATAATCCCTAGTTCACATATCATGCAACAACCTTCAGTTGGTGTTGATTAGGCAAAGTGAGACATACTGGGCACACACCCTGACAGATCACTTTTTTGCTATTGCACATAGTCTTTTCTGCCCCATATCACAGCAAATTAATATCAAGTTACTTTCTCCAAGAAAGCTTTTACTAATTAGGGTGAAGAAAATTCAAAATTTTGCTGCTTACAGAATTTTGCTGCTTACTATTTTATCTGTTCCTGATTTGAATAGTCTAAATATGAATGAGTAAGCATTAAGATTGTTCACTGAAAAAACAACCCATAGAACAGCTATTCACCTTTCAGTTGCCAGTTTATTTGTGATCTTTATTTTTAGTTTTCTCCTTTCAAAACATAACTTACATCAAGATTGTTCATTTATTATATGCTAATTATTGATAGCTTTTTCCAAACTAAAGTACTGTAGCTTACAGAAAGTCATTAAACTGATTAATAACTGAAAGCATGGACTATCAAGGTTGTGATACTTCAATTTTCTGTTGGTATTTGGAACCAACAGCCTCCTGGAGCAAACAAACGATGCATTTCACCTTTAATACCATATGGTGCATTGATCAGACACAGCTATTCCTTGTAAAGGTGGTTATTGTATTGCTTTTCATTTGTTCATGTCAAAATACTTGAGTAAATCAAATTTGTAAATCCCATCAAGTTTGTATAAATAGCAGTGTACTAGCAACTATGATACTATGTAGACTTTTGTAGGTTAAATAAATATTAAAGCAATTCATTTAGATATAAATAATGTATCATTGGGACCCTAATTGTACTCTTGCTGATGTGAATTCAACTTATTTCTAAGTGTGTGTGTGCATGCTTAAGGTCATAAGTTAATAAGCTGAATTAATTAGGTTTTCCCATGTACAGTGGGGGGAACTGAGTTCTGAGAGTCAATTTAATCATGGAATTCCCCAGAATCATATAATAGAATTGGAAGGGGCCAAGAATACCATTGGGTCCCTGCTGTTGCGGAACACTAAGTTAAACCATCCCACTCAGATCTGACAAGTTTCTTTTTTAATGGTTCTAGTGTGGGAGAGTCTATGACCTATCTAGGCAACTCATATTGCTTTGATAGGACAATTTTTTTCTGATATCCAGCCCTCTTACCCAGGTGCCATCCTTTTCCCCCAGCCACCAATTACTTAATGGTTTCCTGGCTTTTGTGTATTTTTCAAATAGGGCAAAATGTTGAAATGCCTCTTCGAAGGGTTAATTACAAGCAGTAAGAGTGTTACACTCCTAATATGGGGGGTTATTTTTGCTTCCACCATTTTTTCCTTTAGTCCTGTCTGCCAGCAGAATGTGAGTACTTTCCCAAAACTGATGTTGGCTTTTGGGCCAAAGAAGAATCACCATCATAGTTTAAATCTCACTGTAAAGAATGATAACATTTCAAACTCTCTGCAGAGACTTTCTTGTATTCCAGTTATATTTGAACCATAGTACTAAATCTCTGCTCTTGATCCCACCTTGTCAGCAACATGTTTTCCCAAGAGCCTTGCTGGTATGATTTTGCTTGATACACCTGATTAGAAGCCATGTACATTAGATCTACAGTAGAAAACAGTAAATGCTGTTTACAGGGGTAGTCACACACCTGGAATAGTTATATTGTGGAAGTCTAGTCACTGCCTACATTTTCCTGGAACATCCTACAAGATGATGTGGATAAGAGATTTCTGAGCCTTCGCAATAGCTTCTCATGCTTTTACGTAAACAAAAAGTCTGTCACACAAGACTTTTCATTTGCTATGTTCTGCAACTTAGCTCTATGTTTCCAGAGGTTAATTGGAGGAAAAGGACTCCAGAGAGAGAATCACTATAGGAGGGCTGGTGGGAAAAAGGCAACCATGTTTGTTTCAAATTGGAAGCAATGTGGGTCAAATACAGTATAATTTATAAATTTGTTGGATGAATGCACAAGTATGTAAGTAACAAAATGCTGCTATTTAGTGAAAGTTACTATTTTGCTTCAAAAACTTGTTCATAGGTTGCTATCAGGCATGTAGCCATGGCTGTGGGGAATCACAGTGTCATGGTAAAAATACTCATTTAAAGGGAGGAATGTGGTTACATTAATAATAGACCTAACAGTGTGTCTTTTAACCTTTCGTATCCATATCCTGGATGATATCCCAGATGATATTGGGAAATCTACTACCATATAGAAAATTTAAAAGTCAATATATTGTGTGTGTTTCTGATGGTTGGAAGGGTGATACGATAAAAATTGAAAGTTATGACTACAGGTTAGCATGACAAAGTCAGTGTTTTCAGGGCTATATACCAAGAAAAATACACTGCTTTAACCAAATTAGTATTTTTACTTGCAGGTGGTTGACATCAGTCAGCTATCCAAGAACATAGGAGCTATGCTGGATCAAACCAAAGATTATCCAGTTCTGTGTTCTGTTCACATGGCAGCCTTAGGTAAAGGTAAAGGTTTCCCCTTGACATTAAGTCCAGTCATGCCTGGCTCAAGGGGGCGGTGCTCATCTCTGTTTCCTAGCCAAGGGAGCCAGCATTTGTCCACAGTCTCCGTGGTCATGTGGCCGGCATAACTAAACACCGAAGTGCACAGAACGCTGTTACCTGCCCACTTTTTATCTACTTGCATTTGCATGCTTTCGAACTGCAAGGTTGGCAAGAGCTGGGACAGAGCAACGGGAACTCACCCCGTTGTGCAAGTTTGAACCAGCGACCTTTCGATCTACCAGCCCAGAAGCACAGTGGTTTAAACCACTGCACCACCTGCAGTCCCTCCATTACAGCCTTACAGTGGATCAATTTTCACTGAACTATCAACCACTGGCCCTTCTTTGTTATTGTGATGCAGAGGCTGATCTTAGAGATATGTCATGTTTTTGCTAGATGATTAGCAATTTCATATTTACTTATTCTTGTCTGAAAACATTCCCTAGAAAAAAACATAATCTACAACTTTACCTGCTTTTTAAGGTGGGAAATTGTAGCCTCCAGATGTTATTTGACTGCTATTTCCATATATCATAACCAACATAGCCAGTGACAAGGAATGATGGGAATTGTAGTCCAACTCCATGTGGAAAAGCATACGTTTTCTGTCCTTGTTTTAAAACCATTGTCCCACGTACCACAAAGGAATGCAGTTGATCTCTTCATCTGAATGTACATTCTAGAGATCATTTGTGTTGTTCATTATATTTGAAAAATTTAATAAAGAATCCTGGATTCTTTGGAGCATATGGATGACAGCTATAGATTAATGCATACGGTTTACTGCCATCCTTCTGTTGTACTGCATAGGCCCCAGATTACAAATTCTGAAAATGAGAGCAACTTTACCTAGCAGATGCAGAGTACTTAACCAGTTCTGCCACTTCTCATCATAGTATTTGAGGAGTCTGCACGTACTGACATTTTGGATGGTTGGAGTTAAGAGATAATAGAGCAACTGTCTTGGTTTCATGCTTCCCCAAGTACCTTAAAACATGTACATGGGCCCATACGGTGCTTACTTTGTTTTGTTTTTCTCTGTCTGAAGACTACTGTGACACATTACATTTGATGAAGTAATTTTTGACTTAAGGTTTATGAGAATCCTTGTATTTACTTGATTAGTCAATTGTCTCCAATTTGCAATCTATTGTACTATCAGCAGTTAAGCACTATATACTAGTGCCTTATGTGTAACAAGCTGGTGACATGCAGTATGTTCTAGCAATGTACTGGTGTTCCCTAAGAAGTGAGGCAGTGGCACTTCTGAAGTTGCACTGGTCATTTTGTGAACTTAGCGGTGCATTTTTAAATGCCTGAACAAGGTGGAAATATAAAACTGCACCTTCAGTCTCAAAGATACACATATTAATATGATAATACTTCTCAAATTATTTTGTTCCATATGGTAGGCAGTGCACTCATGGATTAGGGATTGTACACTTCAAGTGATCTCAGTAATTATGTATCTGGGAAGATTACTGTGTGTCAAGTAGACCTGTGAGTGGATATCTCTGGTTTAACTGTCTCCTGAAAATGCAAAACTTCAGCAGTCTTAATAGAAACAGTTTGCAAGAAAAATACGTTATTAGAAGCATTTTCAGTTTCGTGTTTTGCTTGGTTTAGCCTCCAGAAGGACACCACACACACACACACACACACACACACACACACACACACAGAGAGAGAGAGAGAGAGAGAGA